TATATACATGTATATTTCAATAAAAAAAATCAGTTACAATAAAAAAATAGTGGGTATATAAAAAAAAAACCGCAGCGGCGCGCGTCAGAGCCGAGCTGGTGCTGCTCGGAGCCTCCTCGTCTTCAATCTAGGAGGTCACTTCCCCTTCCGCCCGAGTCGGCTATTTATATTAGGTATAAAGGAAGGTTCACTAATGATATAAATAAAGTTAACGAGAAGTACGTAACCCTTGAGTACGGCTGTCCGCTTGTTTGGTGAGCCGCGTGACTGCCAGTTTGCCAGAGGGTACCAAGAAACTTGATTTCGCACCAGAAGGCCACAAATGAACAAGCACGCCGTCTGAGACTGACCGTCTTGACCCGAAATCTTTGACCCCACGAATGGATTAGCACTCATATTATCGATCAGGTTCCAGAAACAAATAAGTACAAGAAAATTATTATTATACTCACCACTTGCGTGGGTACTTCGAACAATAAAACATTACTAAAAAATTACTACATTGAAATTACCAGACAAACAAAATACTATTTAAGGTCGGAAGACAAGGATTAGCAGAGTGTCCCCTGCGGCTGAAAGCCGGACTTATATATGCTCGGCTTGCGAACTTTCCAGAAAGAATCCCTACTTTAACATTTCAACTGACACTCAAATTATTATCTAGGTTAACACGAACTAAATCAAAAGTAACTCGCTTCCTACCATAACAAGACACTTTCAACACCAATACAATTTGTCAGGATATAATTAATACAATGACTTACCTATAAAACAACGCCATCCAGCGGTCCGATGGCGGACGAAGAACATCAATACTATAGTCACAAACCACCCCGGACAAATCAAGAAATGCGACGCAGGGCAATAGATGTCGCTTTTAACAAGTCCGTACGCAATACAAATATACTAAAAAAATAACTGTTACAACATACTTTGTAAGATGAAAAATTTCGATCCTTCTTACCAGTTCAAACAGACCGATTATAAAAGCTTTTGCGGTTGTGGCCCATTTCCGAATAAAAAACAGTGTGAGAGGTCTATGGACCCCTGGTCGAACCGAAGTTCCTTTCGCTTTATGGTAGACGTTTGCTATATACATGAAATATGAAAAAGATGTGAGCCTCGAAGCGTCAAATGAAGTGTCGGAAAAAAGTCTTGTCACACATTTTTCGGACTCGCTCCTATCTGCTCAGAGCGTGTAACGCGCGTTAGGAAATCCGATAAAAAAAAATGCTCTACTTAATATTAATGTACCTGACCTCGTAAATGTTTCAACAAAACTTTTTACGCTCATTAACCAATTCTCTACGACAGGCTTAACGTTATTTATTAATTACGGTATCATTTCTATTTACTCTGTTCTGAACGGAGATTTGCTTTGGTAAAGATTGAAAATTTAAAGATTTACCACACTGAGCTGATAGTTTGCGAACTCATTTTAACACTGTCTGTTGACAAATGCCGTTTAAGACTACAATTTTATTTCAAAATCTTTCTGTTTACAAATACAGAGATTTTGTATCTATAATAACCAGCACTTGAAAAGTCACTAAATCTTTTTAGGAGTTCGTAAATGAACATTGAGCTGAACACAAGAAAATAATTAGTGAATTAAATTTAGATTTTTTTTGGCGCTTAACAGGATATCACGCTATTTACTATTAACAAATACAAGTATAAATATATTTAACCGTAAAGTAAAACTATGAATTGATTGATGTATTTAAGAATGCTGCAAAGGATGTATGGCAAATAGTTTGTTGAGTTAGAATTATTTAATGCAGTTACTTTAAACATCACATTTCTTAATCAGTTACACTTTAATGGTTGAACAATCAAACTAAAAAAAAACTCACCACACCAACTCTGTTATAGCAACTTGTGACCTTTTACGTCAACTTTATAAACTGAGCAATAGAGCTTATATTCGCTTACTTGACGTGTTACTGAGTAAAAAAAATACGGTCATAAGTTTGAATTCCGTACTTCCTATTGCATGATTTTGAATTTTAAGACTTTGGAATAGAGTCCTAATATTTGTTCCGTTAATAGCTGATTGATTTTAAGCTGTACTATTTTGTTAAGATTCTTAATTGTTTAATGATAATCACTGTCATAGTTTTTAAATTATTTCGCACTTGACGCTCGGTTGGATGGTTGCGGTCCTCTTTTTGTTTTTTAATTATCTGTTAGTTATTCTGTTGACATCAATGTGAAGTGATAGTAAAATTGATTGAAGAGCCAATGTCAATGACTCATCTTTTACGCACGTAAGTATCAACTTAACGTGGGTAAAGAATCATTGATAAAATAATAAAAACATTACTAATGATGGTTTAAGCTGTCGCTAAACAGAGAAGTCCCGTGAATATCCCAATATTAGATGATCGATCTAAACTAATCTTTTTATTTTAGTAACTAGTTGCATGTTTAAATAGTTAATACATCAGAGTAAGCGATGTTTGCACATTTTGAACGAGTACGTGTAAGTATGTTTATGAAAGTTTTGCCGTGAAAAGGCCGTACTTTGAATCGTAAGGACCGCCTGGACCGGAGTGATACCCATAGAGATAATACAGATAGCGAGGAGAACCTATTGGATTACCTGTAAGTGGAACAACGACGCCGGTAGAAACAGAAAGAAGATTTCGACCACTTCGGGCCAACAAGTCAGCGAAGAGGTGCGAGAGAGGCGCATGTAAATCATCGTCTTTTTTCTCTTTCTACCAGAGTAATCGTCTTCTTTCTCTTTCTAAAAACTTCCACAGATCGTGTCTCGCTTCTCTCCTCTATCTAAATATTCTCTCTATGGTGATACCACGTCTCATAAAAAAAAGCCGGAAATCTTAAAGGTCTACAAAGTAACACCTTTAGTACCTTACAGCTCTTGGTGCTCGCTTCACCACAAGGAACTTGGTTTTGGAAGCTTCATCCCAAATTGGAAAGCTTAGCTCTAAGTAATCTATTTTCTATTTTATCTGCGTCTTAAAAATTTGAATATATATATAAACCATATCATTTTTTCGCATACATTATTTATTTGATTGTGCTAGTTTATTCTGATAACAATCACTACACAAAGATACTTTATGTAGTAAGCACTCTAAGCACGAGTAAGAGCAATTCCAGTCAAAACATGCATGAACTGAATTAAGAAATCTTCTAAAAGTATAAAATAATATGAATGTTATAGCAGTCAGTTAACAAAATAAATAAAAGGGGAAATATGTTAGTCTGATATTCTCTAGAAACCGTCCATCAACAAAGTTGCAGGGGTTAGTTCATCAGTTGAACTAGCTGGAGATAAAACTGATGCGCGCAGTGGAGGTACTGGCGAACTAGAGGACACACTAATGTTGGACGAGTAACTTTTACGTTCGTCGTGTATTGTAGAAGCGTGGACATGAAACTTTATTATTTTGGATTTAATTTGCTTTTATTACCTTATTATTAACTTTTAAAAACTAATAACTGACTTCAATACGCCTACAATTTGATGAACAATAATAAACTGTATTTATGATTCCTTAATTAATTTTCCACCCTTATGAGTGTTATTTTTCCTAGAAATTTGAATAGGTCAACAGAAAGTATACACTCTCAAATAAAAAATATTTCCATAATTGGTTCACGAATTAAGAATACGAGTACGGAGTGTCTGCATCCTTATTTATCACATAGGTGTTGATGATGAATTGGTTCATAAATGATGGCTTTTTTAACCTGTTCCTTCTGTTAATTTCGTTTGTTTGCAATATACGAGTAGGAGGGCAACTGTTTTGATATTTATATAGCGAAGGTGACCCTATTGCTTTCTTATCTATTTTGTTAAGTACTATAAACATGATAACGTATTAGATATAAATTATTTAATGAGCGTTGCGCAGGCGCATTGCCGAGTCAATTGCGCTTAGGAACAAAACGGGCAGCTGAGCCATAAAAGGTAAGTCGTGTCATTATTACTCTACATTTGTGTGTTTAGATATGTAAGTAGCATATAATTCTACTTTCATTTCATAGTCTTCTAAGTATAAGGGAGGCCATTAGGGAAACCAGCTGCCCCATCACGACATGTCTTGCTTTTACTGTCGTCTCGTGTCACCTAATTTGTAACCAATAGAAAATATATTTGACCAGTTTTATGTTCTACCCAATGCTTTAACTCGAATAAATCTTCGAACATCACTACCTGATGATGATGGTGAGTTTAGTGGCAGCTTTTGTTCTAAGTGATAAGGCCATTCTGTGCACATTATTTTTGCTGTACATTTTGTAATATATAATAGACCGCATCCTAAATACCTACATCTGTGGTAGCTTCTGGCTAAAACCAATCCAAGAAAAGCTAATGGAAGGTCGACTTGGATGAAATGGGCAGATAATGCGTTGTCCACCAAGCCCGACCAGTGCTTAAAATGTTTGCGTCGCCAAAAAAGCTAGGAAGACCCCGCATCACATGGAGAGTCACTATAGAGAGAGATATGAGAGATGCAAAAGTCACATCCGAGACGACCCGGGACAGAGCGTCCTGGCAAAGAATGGCTAGGAGAGTCGATCCCAAGTGGTGGGATAAGGCTAGGCGAAGAGACCGATAATATCTGTATACTAGACTAGACTAGAAGATTCTCTATACAACAGAATCTCATATTAACAGAATAAAGTAGTATCTACCTAACTATCTATCACTAAGTGCTGCACCTGACCTATAAAGCCAGATAAAATTGATAACTAGTACTGTCGGAATGTTTACTGTTCAATAATAAGTTACATATAAAGATTCCATTTTCGTACATCAAACGAGATCAAATCAAGGTCAAAGTTAAACTAGTCATTTACATCCGATCACTATCAGCAAACATCCATACATTCATAATCGCAAAAGGAATTGCAATCATAAAATAGTAAGAAATCAATGCACTTATAAAGAAAACGAATATAAATTATGAATAGAAAATTATAACCTATAGATTGTTAACTATTTTCAGAGAGTGCTGATAACAATGAAGGCCACATACTTAATTCTTCTACTGGTTGTAATACTTAGTGCCTTCTCTGAGGCGCAGACTTCAATACCTGAGAAGTCTACCACAAAAAACGAGAATACAGCAGTGCCTGAGAAGTCTACCACAAGAAACGAGAATACCGCACTGCCTGAGAAGTCTACCACAAAAAACGAGAATACCGCACTGCCTGAGAAGTCTACCACAAAAAACGAGAATACCGCACTGCCTGAGAAGCCTACCACAAAAAACGAGAATACCGCACTGCCTGAGAAGCCTACCACAAAAAACGAGAATACCGCACTGCCTACTACAATAAAGCCACAAAATAGCGCAACTGAGGAAAAATCAAGCGGTGACTCGAATCTTCTTTCAGTTGTCAAAGATCTCATGCCATGTCCACCTGGGAATAAATTACTCGATGGTTTATGCCTACCAGATCTCATAGGTATTTAGTCATGAATTTCAAATCGATTATTTCATATAGATATAATACTCATTTACAGGATTAATAGGCTATAAACTGAAGAAGAAAGATCAGTCAAAGGACGTAAGGATGTAAGAAATAATATCAATTTTGTAGCCTTATCTTAGATTTTTTAGATAGATGGAGAAAAATTGTTTTGTATGTAGATATTTGTATCTTACAAATAGTACTGCTAATGGAAGGGTTAATGAAATTGTTGCTTAAAATCGAAGGAGAACGGGTAAGACTCGTTCGTATCCTTGGGGCTAAGTACCAGGTTAATTATATGGGTAGTGGATAGTTGTTAAAATGAATGTTGTGTAATGTACTTTATATTTCTTTAGTGATTTAGGTACTTATTTTATATAAATAAAATTGAAGTGTTACTCCTATTTAATCCCATCACTAGATAATGGTACAGCTATTCTTCATTCCAAATTCATTGATTTTATTTTTTAGGAAAGACAAAAATTTGATACTTTCTTATGAAATAGATCAAAATTATTTTTATGCTGTACGACGACACTTTGTGTGATTCACAAATTGCTGTTCTGAGTCTGGGTGTTCCTTGTGTCCATTTCACATATATTTGAAAAGTCAGGAATATATTCCTAAAGCGGGTCTTTTTTTTAAAGAGAAAAAACAACTTTTGTCGAGCCTGTGGTTAGTAATATTGATTGCTAAGGTAGAGTTCGTGGGTTTTACCAGGACAAATATTTGTGTGATGTTCCTACTGCGCTGATTGTTGTGGGTTCGATCCCTACATGTGACAACACTTTGTGTGATCCACAAATTGTTGTTCTAAGTGTGGGTGTTGTTTGTGCCCGTTTCAGTATGTTTGTGAAATCCCCGAGACACAAGATTTATTCCTAATTTAACAAAAAAGTTTAAAGACTAGAAGGTAATTTTTGCCTTGTAACAGATAAACAGAGTTAATATGGTATGGATTATTTCTCTATTCAGTAGGGCAGACATAACGATAAATACCACGAATTAGCTTAATACTTCCTGTTTTCTCTGCATCACCCAATGATTGACTGGTAGACAATGCCAGAGGTATTAAATCCGCCAATGCACCAAATGTGCATGATGTGTACAAATAAATAAAATAAAAATTAGCGACTGAAGTTCTAAGATTGAAGTTGAATATTTGGAAAACGATGAGTATTTTAGCATTGGAACCATATTACACGCTGTGCTGTTCTAGATACACCACAATATACTCATCAAATAACATCAATCATTGCAATGACCACGACGTCGTAAGTAACTTTAGTTTAGTTAGTTTGTTTAATACACCCCACTTCGTAACTGCGTTTGTATTGACAGTGTGACACTAATCATAGAGTAGGACAAATAGGCCGCAGTACACAACACTGTTGAATCTATCGAAAGAACTATTAGTAGTATGAATATGGAAGACACATTTTGTTGAAACTTTAATGAAAATCTCTACATACTTACACATACCAGTGTAAGTATGTAGTCCAGGCTAGAGATAAGGAGGAGAAAAGAGAGACCTATTAAAACCTTGTTCAATAACATGAACCATTACCCCCAACGGCAGTCGGATCTCCAGGCTAATATGGTCATCCCATTGCTACTTCAGCTTGCTAACCTGGTTAACTATGTTTATGATTTCATCAAAGTTCATGCGTAGGCCGATGCGTATGGAGGAGTAGGCTGGGTTATTCAACATCTGTTGTAGTTCCTAAAACCTATCTGCTATGGTGAGCATGTCGTCTGCAAATCGCAGGTGAGTAATGTGTTCACATTTGCTTTAGTGAACAATTTCAGGATAATAGTGTCCCCTTTTCTCATTCCTCGATGCAATGCTATGGGCCTTATTTGTTGATTTTGTACTTCAACAGAACTGTGAGCAAAACGATTATTTGAGATACAAAACTTTAACCTTTAACCCTTTACACTTTTTGGAGCCCATTCACTCCAAGTGCTCGAGAAACAAACATAATCAACTCACGACTTACTGGATAAAGATAGCTCATTAGAGTAAACGGCAAGTTACTAAAATTCAATTATTTCTAATAACTCGACGAGAATCTTTTAAGTCTACGAGAAATCTTCGAGACACTCCGAGACCCTACGAGACTCTCCGAGATCCTCCGAGACTCTCCGAGAACCTCCGTGAACTGCCGAAAACCTTTCTACAAATCTTCGAGAACCTACTTAAGCAGCACTGATTGTGTGTTTATGTCACAAAAAAAAAAACTCCTTTACTTCATAAATCTAATTTTATTGATTTAAATTAGATTCAAAGTGATTATAACTGTAACTACTCAGAATTGTTAGTGTTTAAAATAATCTGAAGAATCATGTTATCTAAAAACACCAAGAAAATACAACAGTTAGTCTCACAACTTGTAAACACAAGATACATTTCGCATGCTCGGTCATTCTCGCCTATTCGAGAATAAAAAACGAAGAGTCTTCGAGAAATTATTTATTTATTTACTCGTATAAACAAGTCACAAGAGTGCTTACAGTATTGACGCAATCATAATCTTTTTCGAGGTATTTTTTCACTGTTTAATAACATAACACAGCGAATTCAAATACTATATAAGGCTTACATAACTTACTCTCTAAATTGTAAACAGTTATTTTAATCATTTTATACTTAAATATCGTTTACCAGTAGCTTAAATTCAAACATTGTCTCTTAGATCTCTAAGAGTATTTTAATTTTCCAAGTTGAAACATTAAACTTTTTATTTGTCGTATGAAACCTTTGACTAAGCATTTCATAAGCATCATTAGCAAAACTCATATTTATTTAGATAACAGAATACAAGAACCCTTTTCCAAAAAAAATACTGCTCAAACATTTTATGATTAAATCAGTTGTCACGTTGCTATAAAATTCCCGTGGCCACTGGTGCAAAGGTTAATTTGTCCGGCTTCAGGGACTCACTGTAAATACATTTCATATTTTTGCTTTAATGGAAAATTTTGTTTGACGATGTTGGAAGCTTTGGAGTGGGTAGTTTGTTATAATAACGAGAAAAGTATAGAGTGGGATTCATATAAGTATGAACACTGCTCAGCAGAATAAATTTCTAAAAGATTTCTTTAAAAACAAATTTGAAATATATGTTGATATGTGATTTGGTAGTGAGATTTATTCCCTTTTTTATATTATGTTATTAGGGTCTGAATAAAGATATTTAACATGTTAAGCAGGTAACCGTATTTTAATACAAATGTTTGACTGTAACTCTACCCATATTTTGACAATTTCTATAACTCCTTTACACCAAGATAGACAGTAGTGGCTCACGAAAATACAGCAATGTCGTGGAACTTAGATGGAATGTAACTCTTGATTCTGATTTGATGAACTGAAAGTACTCGAGTGAAAACTTTATAATCTCCGCGTATCAGTGGCGGATGAGTACATGTTTTTGGTGCCCACTGCAAGTTCCATTTTGCTACAACAGGCGCTCATCACATGCCTGGACACACGCTCATCGAGGTTGGTACCTTGGTTGTGGACCTATATCAAATAAATCTGTCATATAAGAGTTCAATTTAATTAAGTTAGTGAATAGTTCACAATTTGAATTTGTTATTTCCGAAGTAAAGTAATTGAGTTTAAAATAATGAAAATATATAAATATTTTAGCAGTATTTATGAAATTTCGTAACCTTGTCCCTATAGAATTGTTTGACTAATGGAAACACTTAAGAAATATTATCTGGATGCGATATTAGAACTCTTAAATATATACTAGGTTTTGCCCGCACCGCTGCTCGCGTGTAAGTCGGTTACCGCGCTTGGCCTAAGTCCTTTATCAAACTATCTTCATACCAAATTTCATCTGAATCGGTTTAGCGGTTATTGATTCTACATACACTATCCTTTTTCACCCCTTGAAGGATGATTTCAGGGATAAAAACTATCCTATGTCCTTTCCCGGGACTCAAACTATCTCTATATTAAATTTCATCTAAATTGGTTCAGCGATTGACTTGAATAGTTCTTTAAAGTTTGGAGGTCGTATCGGTCAGAATATACTGCAGGCAACGGTCCGAAGGTTCGTTGTGGTATTGTTGGATGATAGTATGATATATATGTACCTACGTAGTTCCAAAGGCTCAATCACATTTATGTATGTTTCGTACGTTCAGCTTTTCGAAGCACATCAACACTTTTCTAATCGTGAAAAAAAAACCTTTTTTTTCGAGTTTAGACTATTTTAATATTTTTTTTGTGTGTTACTAACATCCAGGCAATGCATGAAACCTTATTCATGCATACAAATATTTACTCTGAATGGGAATCGAATCCTTGACATAACCTAAATATAGATAACCTACATCTATTCAATACAGTTATTTTTATGCTAATTTTATTATGCCATTTCGATTGATGAGCAGTTATGAGCTGATACTGTGTGTACATAAATTGTTTACGTGACTTGTCAGAATATAGGTGACTATAGATAATTTATGATACCGTCGCAGACTGCAATCAGTCTTAGTGTTATAGGTTATGTCAAGTTAATCTTGGTTTAAGTTAGGATTTATGATACACTGATGTATAGTCGGTATCGAAAGATTTGAACTTATGAAGAAGTTAACTAAAACTTGAGTACGTAATTTTTAGGTTACCAGAATTATCGTTTCGTACAATTAAAAAAGACGCGAGTTAATGGCGAATCAAAAATTTAAAAAAAAAAACACTTTCCATCTGTTTCCTGACTTCATCTTCAGATCGTACTTATCAAGTCCATGTTTTAACACTAGTGAAAACGATTCTTATGAGCACAAATCGGGGGCTTTGCTAGTAGCCATAGATAATTTTACTTTCCACTTCTCAGGTTTTTCATCAGATTTCAATGTATCTTGTATTTTTTTGAATTTGTATCTTTTGAATTGGAGGTTTCCTTGGGCGGTGACAGTCACTTGCTCTTTGGTGACCCGTCTGCTCGTTCGAAATCTCAATAACTCCGTGAGAAGCAAGGATCAT